TGTGAGAGAGAGAGCACATGAGAGGGGGGAGGGTCAGAGGGAGAAGCAGACTCCCCGCTGAGCAGGGAGCCCGATGCGGGACTCGATCCAGGGACTCCAGGATCATGACCTGAGCCGAAGGCAGTCGCTCAACCAACTGAGCCACCCAGGCGCCCCTCTTTAAAATTTTTAACAGCTTTTTATTTTAAAATGATTTCAAGCTTAGAGAAATATTATAATACATAGAACTCTCATATACTCTCCACCCAGATTCACCAGTTATTAACATTATTTCTCTGTACACATTTTGTTTTAACCTTTTACAGTAAGTGGCAGCCATGAGGGTTTAAATACTTCATTGTGGGGGCACCTGGGTGGCTCAGATGGTTGGGCGTCTGCCTGCGGCTCAGGTCGTGATCCCAGGGTCCTGGGATCGAGCCTGGCATCGGGCTCCCTGCTCGGCAGGAAGCCTGCTTCTCCCGCTCCCACTCTCCCTCCTTGTGTTCCTGCTCTTGCTATCTCTCTCTCTGTCAAATAAATAAATAAAATCTTCAATAAATAAATAAATACTTCATTGTGTATTTCCTAAGAACAAAGATCTTCGGTTACATAACTACTGCTCTGTTGTCAGGATTGGAACATTTAACATCAATATGCTTCTGTTACAGAACATACTCAGATTTTACCAGTTGTCCCGGTAATGTCCATATAGCAGTCCAGGATCACCAGTTGAGTTTAGGTGCACTCTCTCTTTAAATCTGAAGCAGATTCTTAATCTTTCTTTGTCTTTTATGAACTTAAACACTTTGGACAGGTCAGTTATTTTGTAGAGTATCTCTCAAATTGGGTTGTCTGAAATTTCTTCCATGATTAGATTGAAATTACTCATTTTTGGGCCAGAAAACCATACAAGTACTGTTACAGCCTTTTCACTGCACCCTGTTGAGGCATGTAGTGTCAGGAGTCAGTCTGTCTCCTTTTGAGGTTATTAATTTGGTTACTTGGTTAAGGTGGTATCCTCCAGAATTTCTTTTCCCTTTGTAATTAAGTATTTTGAACCCACATAAATATCCTCTTGTGCAGTTTCACCTCTGGTTTAGTGTCCACTGATGATATTTGCTGGAATCATTTTTGCTCCTGTTGTTCCTTATGCATTTATTGGTTGGCATTCCACTATAAGGGAGAGCTTTCCCTTCTTATTTATTATGTGTGTGTGTTTTAGCATGGATTCTTATTTTATTCAATGGGTTATAACATCTTTTTAAAATTTTTTTTTAAAGATTTTACTTATCTATTTGACAGAGACACAGCGAGAGAGGTTCCCTCTCTTGTGTTCCACAAGCAGGGGGAGTGGGAGAGGGAGAAGCAGGTTCCCCGCTGAGCAGGGAGCCCTATGCGGGGCTCGATCTCAGGACCCTGGGATCATGACCTGAGTCAAAGGCAGAAGCCTAACGACTGAGCCACCCAGGTGTCCCTCTTTCTTTTTTTTTCCCCACTAAGCTCTACACCCAACATGGGGCTTGAATTTATGACCCCCGAGATCAAGAGTCGAATACTCTAATGACTGAGCGTCCCCCCACCCCATGGGCTATAATTATAATCTTAAGCGTCTTTTAATATGTGGGTTCCCCCTCCCTGCTTTTCTCCCTTGCAATTTGTATGTTAAAGAATCAGGTTACATGTCATGGTTTCCACCCTCTGGACTTAGCTGGTTATATCCTTGTATAACTTTACTTGTAAACTGGTAGTTAGATCTAGAGGTATGATGAGGTTTAAAGTTCTTGAAAACCTTTTTGGGGTCAGAAATACTTTGAAGGTTGTGGTGTGATACACTCTGAACTTTTTCTCACCCCTTTACAGAGGTTAGAAAGATGCATGAGCATTGTGACATCGATGACTACTGGTGTCTCAGAGAGGGAGGCCAATGATGCCCTCAATGCTCACGTGAGTATAATGCTCTCCCTCATCCATTTCTGTTGCTTTGGAAGCGTTGAGATGTGATCCAAAAGATAGGACTTAAGTGGCTGGGAATTAGGGGACTGAAGTGAGTATCTTGGCTCCCTGAACCAGACTTCCCAGCTCCTCTCTCTGTCTCACTGTGGGAATCCAGCTCTTGGAGCTTAGGTGTCTTTAAGTCACAACTTTTAAAAATAACTCTTAGTTCTGTAGTGACTTTTTTCTTTGCAAATTATTCTCACATATTTGATCCTTTACATTTCATTTCCTTTTTTTTTTTTGGAGGGAGGGAGGGAGGGGCAGAGGGCGAGGGAGAGAGAAGCCTAAGCAGGCTCCATGCCCAGCAGAGCCTGATGCCAGGACTCTATCTCACAACCCTGAGATCAGGACCAAATCAAGAGTCAGAGCCAAAATCAAGACTGGGATGCTCAACTGACTGAACCAGCCATACGCCCCATGATCCTTTATATTTCCTGATCTGTGAGATTGAAAGGATTTTCAGTAGTACATGTAAAGGTTTTGTTTTTTTTTTTTTTAAAGATTTTATGTATTCATTTGTCAGAGAGCAAGCACAGGCAGGGAGAGTAGTAGAGGGAAAGGGAGAAGCAGGCTTCCTGCTGAGCAAGGAGCCCAGTGTGGGACTCCCATCCCAGGACCCTGGGATCATGACCTGAGCCAAAGGCAGACACTTAACTGACTGAGGCACCCAGGCATCCCAGTACATGTAAAGGTCTTACAGTAATTCCAGGCACATAGTGAATGTTTAGTATTTTCTTTTAATTAGTAGTATATTATTTTTATTGTCTTCACCTTACAAATATCACAGATTCAGTGATTTGCCCAAAGTCTTGACTTGAACTGTATGCTTATTATCCCATGAATGGCTCTGCAGCTCCCTCCCTCCTGAAGGCTATTAAGGTCTGGTAAAAGTGGTACAGTGAGGTTTTTTTCTGCTTTATTATTTTTTTTTAAGTTTTCTCTGAAGATTTATTTATTTATTTTGAGAGAGAAAGAAAGCGTGCACACACTTGAGTGGGAGGAAGGACAGAGAGAGGGAATCTTTCAAGCAAACTCCCACCTAAGCATGGAGCCCGATGCGGCTTGATTTCAGGACCCATGAGATGAGCCAAAACCAAGAGTGGGATGCTCTACTGACTGAGGGCGCCCTTAAAGATTTTATTTTATTCATTTTATTTATTTTTAAGGATTTTTATTTGTTTGTTAGAGAAAGAGAGAGAGTGCACACAAGCAGGGGGAGGGGCAGAGGGAGAAGCAGGCTCCCTGCTGGGCAAGGAGCCCGATGCGGGACTCGATCCCAGGACCCTGAGATCATGACCTGAGCCGAAGGCATAACGTTTAACCGACTGAGCCACCCAGGCATCCCAAAGATTAGATTTTATTTTATTTTAAAACATTTTATTTATTTATTTGTCAGAGAGAGAGAGTACAAGCAGGGGAATGGCAGTCAGAGGGAGAGGCAGGCTCCCCGCTGAGGAGGGAGCCTGATGCAGGACTCCCATCACAGGACCCTGGATTGTGACCTGAGCCGAAAGCAGACACTTAACTGACTGAGCCATCCAGGCGTCCCCCAAAGATTTTATTTTTAAGTAATCTCTACACCCAATGTGGAGCTCAAACCCACAACCCCAAGATCAAGAGTTGCACACTCCACTGACTTAGCCAGCAGTTGCCCCTTTTTTTCCACTTTAAACACTCTTTAGGTGCGCCTGGGTGGCTTAGTCAGTTGGGCGGCTGCCCTTGGCTCAGGTCATGATCCCAGGGTCCTGGAATCAAGTCCCACGTCGGGCTACCGGCTCCTCGGGGAACCTGTGTCTCCCTCTCCCTCTGCCTGCCTGCCACTCCCTCTGCTTGTGCTCTCTCTCTGTCAAATAAATAAATAAAATCTTTAAAAAAAATAAACACTCTTTACATTTTCTGCTTCCAGCCTGCATCAAGCCTTGGAGAAAACAGTAGGGTCTGTTCTTTCCCCACTTCTCTCCTGAAACAGATGCTTCATCACTTAGGAAAAGGATATCATCAGATAGAAGAGTTAATGATTCTCCTTTGCAGGTTATTCAGGAGTCCTAAGTTTTCTGGGAGAAACTGCTCAAGAACTTTCCTCCTATAAGTGACAACTAGTTTTCTTCCTTCCTCATTTCCCAGGTATGCAAAGGCCCCCCCCAGCATGAGGAAATCTGCCTGGGCCTCTTCACCCTTGTCCTTACTGAACCTGCCCAAGCCCAGAAGGTAAGACTCCCTGCTCTGGACCCACAACTCCCCTCAGATAGTCTGAGGATATGGTGGAACTTAAGGGTTAGCTGGCATAGTGCCAAACCCGTTGACCAGAACTGGATCACCTTGTTGTCCAGATATGCTTACAACTCCCTTTTTATTCTCAATGAATTGGTCATTCTCTGACTTAGATCCTTTCTCTATCTAGATTCTGAAGCTAAAGGGCAAGAAGAGCATTTGTGAGAATGGAAAAGCATTTGAAGAGTTGTACATTGTAGATTGATGGGTCAAGGTTATAAGAGTCAGGATTTAATCCAGAGAAGAGAACAAGTTACAACCAAGTCCATTGAGAGTTCTTACCCAGAAGAGCGTGACCTGTAGTTTGTAGGTTCTCGATCATTGGCAGGTGAATAGAAGGTAGCCTTAACATTGTAGCACGTAGGATTTAACAGCTTCATGTTGATGATTGATACAGCAATAATGTAGTGACCAAGAGAACCCTGGAACCCACTGGAGCCAGACTTCCTCAGGAATACTGTGTAAAAACTAGTCTGGGGTCTTCACAGCCAGGAGAGTGTCCTTTATGTGGAATGGTTAAAGTGGGATCCTTGCCTGGGGTGAGGGATTGGGAAGGATGATCTGTTTGGATTCCATTCTTTGCATAATAAAGCAGTAAAATTCTGTCTTTTACCTCTCCAGATTTCCCTTTTCCAGCAGTTCTGTGTCCTTGGAGTCTTGGGGCGATGGTTTAGAAGTGTATGTCTGGTATCTGGCATTAACTATATGACACTAACAGAGAGGAGCTTGGAGTGGGGAAATTCAGTGTTCTTATTGGCCCTTCCTTGAACAAGTATGGAAGGAAACACACATGCTTGGTGCCCAGCACTGTGTTGGGCTCTATCCAGACAAGATCTCATTTAATCCTCTCAAAAGGTTGGTGGCTTTGTCCCCTCTTTCCAAACTGCTCCCAGTTTACCTATAAGATAACTGGAGGTCAGAGATACTATCATTTGTTCAGGGAGAACCAAAGAAAATCATCCCCAGGGACAAAGACAAGATGCCCATGCCCACCTGGCATAGCTGCTTGAATTAACCTCAGGGGAAGGATCTATGGGCATGGCAACCTGATGTGTTTGTATTCCTCTGATGCCAACTAGAGTAGTGTCCAGGATGAGGGTAGGTGGTGGAACAGCAGGTATTCACAGGTCCTTGGTGTCCCAGGCCATTTCTGGGCTGGGACCTTGTTGCGTTAACTTGGCATTTCATTTTCATACTGGATTTATCACCGAGATCCTTGAAGACAAATGAATGTCTCCAATTTGGTGCTGTTAAACAGTAATATGACCCAGTCTAGCCACTCCATTTAAGAGAAATTGTTGGCAAAGACAGGGGTGGACAGGTTGGGATTAAGGTTTTGTTTTCTCTTGTGTAGGTTTTTATAAATACAGTTAAAATCTCGTGTAGTCACCTCAGTGCAAATTTGTCCAGTCTGCTGGTTTTGTTTGTTTCAGGTGGAATCTGCATCAGCTAGGGTAAATCAGTAAACTTCGTGAAGGGACAGGGTATGTGTGGTATTTCTAGGTCTTTGTCTAGCCTGGCAGTGAAAGGCCATAGCACTCTGCATCATAAATGCTTATTAAGTCATGAATTTGGCCATCCAGACATGACAAGGTACTAGAGCACTTTGTCTTCTTGCCCTGGGATAGCCCCATGAGGGTGGCCCAGGCCCTTCCTTGCCTTGGACCTCATAGCTGGTTGACAGCTGCACCAGGATTGTGTTCACACGCTAGCTGTTTCCAAGTAAATCCCCTCCCTGGAGTATATGAGGCTGACAGGCCCCTGTCAGGGCTCTTCAGACAAAGCAGTGGAGTTGGGGGTTCGGAAGACAACTGAGGCTTAAGCAACTGAGGAGCTGGCAGGTGGTAACTGATTGAGAGACTTTGAGCGAGATCAGAGTATGGGAAGAATTAGTGACATGTCTCTTTGGTGCTTTGATCCTTTTCCCTAAAATGGTGATTATCTTGTGAAATGCTTATGTGCTGCAGAAGTTTCAGGTAGGAGTTACTGGTGAGGACTGATTCTGATGCATTGTTTTAGGCTTCAGCTTAAAACAAGGGGAGTGTTTTCTAAGGGTTTGTTTGGGGTTGACTCCGTCTCTGGACCAGAAACCTCAGGATGGAGTGGAGATCTGGTTCCTAGATCTTGTCAGGCCAGGAGATGGGAGCAGGGGTGGTGGAGAGGGTGGTAGTGGATCAGTCTTGAGCACATTACAAACCTGCTCTGGGGAAGCAGGAGCTAAAGAGCCTCAGTCTGGGCTGCAGGCAGGTTCAGACGTTAGGGCCAGCTCTCTGGGACTTCTTGGTGCAGCAAGAGCAGGTTGAACGAGAGCATTCAGGGAAGGATGAAGCAGGCTGGGTTTTGGTGGAGAGTGGAATATGCGTGGGGTGGGTTTTGTGCTAGTTGTACCTTCTTAATGTTCATCTGTCTGGGCAGCTCTTATGTTTATAGTTTTTGAGTTTATTTATTTCTTATTTGATGTCTGAGCTGCATAAGTGGGAGCAGGCCAGTTTCGGGGCCTGTGGGGCTGTCGGAGGCTAAGTAGGCAGGCTCTAGCAGTTAGTAGAGAGAGGTGACAGGAAAAGGTCTAGCATCAGTGAGGAGGTTCCTTTTGAAGAATCAAGGCCTCAGGTCTTGGCGGTTGTTGCTCACGAAGGTGGCTTGGAGGCTGCGTAGGCCCAGCGGTTGGGGCAGAAGCGCTACCTCCCTGCCATCCAGCCACCTATCCTTTCTTTTGAGACTCTGCTTCTCTTCTGTGTTCCCCACTGAGTTTTTTTTGTTTTGTTTTTCCCCATCTGCTTCTCTTTCAAGCCCATCAGAAAAATGGCACAGAGGTTGGTGAGGCAACTGGCAGCATCAGGATGGGGTGCCCTGATGCTCAACTGCACATGTTAGCAGCAGTGTGGTTGATAAGTCCCACATGGCGCGTGGAATTAGGCAGATGGTATCTGCTCTCTTCATCTGTTCCCTGTGTCTCCTGGGAGACTTGTCCTCCTTCCCTGTCCTGGGTCTATTTCTGCATTTCTGCTTTTGATTGAACAGACAGGGCTCCTCTCCGGTGAGTCTGTCTGGTCTCTGTCTTTGTCCTGACATAGATTTTCCTTCTGTCTCTGCCTCCCTCCTGTTTTCTGCCCATCCTGTAAGTCATACCTCCAGGGGAGGCTCCAGGGCTGACCCACCATTTACTGACTGGCTTGTTGGCAGTAGTTCACTGGGTACCTTTTATACATTCCTTATTCCCTTGCTTATACTTTTTGATCTCAAATGGAGTCAGAGGATAATCAAATCCTCCTTTGGGTATGAAGAGTTTATGGCACGTGAGGGATCTCTAAGTGTTGGTGTTTTTATCAGATCAAACATTTGACTTAGGGCAATAGAGGCAAGAGGAAGTAACAATAGTTAACCTCTCAGGAGTTCCTCCTCACACGGAGGCCAGAGACTAGGAGCACTTCTCTTCCAAACACTTAGGATGAAAGCGCTCAGGAATATGGTCGTCTCAAAGCCACCTTCAGTCCCCACCCCTCCCCAGCAGCCTCTTCTCCTTGTAGCTATTTCTAGTGCTAGTAAAGAGGTGTTAAGAGCGTGGAATCTGGGGCGCCTGGGTGGCTCGGTGTTAAACGTCTGCCTTCGGCTCAGGTCATGATCCCAGGATCCTGGGATCAAGCCCCACATTGGGCTCCCTGCTCAGAGGAAAGCCTGCTTCTCCCTCTCCCACTCCCCCTGCTTGTGTTCCCTCTCTCACTGTGTCTCTCTCTGTCAAATAAATAAAATCTTTAAAAAAAAAAAAGAACATGGAATCTAGAACGGGACTGCCTGGACTTGGATTCTGGTTATTCCTCTGTCTCTTCAGTGACCTGGGGCGAGTTACTTTGCTCTGTTATACCTGTTTCTTCATCTGCAGGAATAAAGATAATAATTACTGGTACCTATTTCAGAGGGTTGTCGTGGGATTCAAATGCAACCATATGTATAATAGGTGCACAAACCCAGTGCATGTTAGCTTAGCATAAGTGTCACCATGGTTGATGCCACTAGCTTTCGAGGTGGTGGGCTGATACCCACATAATTTTTACCCTTTGTGCTGAGACCCTGACAGCATGGAGCTCAGCAGGCCAATGAGGCCTCCTAAGGCATTCCTCCAGGACTCTAGTCTCTAGAGAGCCAGGATGAGAATACTCTTCGGGGAAGGGGACAAGAGCACTCAGAGAAGATTGGCATGCCTTCCTTCACCTCTCCCAGGGTTGGGTATGCTTAAGGACCCCTCCTTTTTCAGTGCTTGGCAGAAGCAAAGGGCAGCCCAGAGAAAAGAAGAACGATGTTTAGTTAAGGAAGTTCACTTTTGTCCTGCCCTTTCTTTCTGGGGCCCTGGTCCCCATTCCCCTTCCCTAATGTTCCTAGCCCTTTGCTTCATCTGGCTGAGTCAGTACAGGTCTAACAGCCTCTTTGGGGTCCTTTATAGTCTGTTCAGCCAGACCCATTCTGCAGTGACCTTTCCCTGGCAGATGAAAAGCAGATGGCCTCCACCTGGTTTTGCTCAGCTTGTGGCATGAAACAGTGGGGCAGTTTTTAAGAAGGGAGGTAGAGGAACAAGGAGACTTTCTTAGCAGGCTTTTCTGCCTTCTTAGAGAGTAGCTCCATTCCTCCCCACCCTGTGTGACAGGGCCAGGGTTGGGTTTGGGATGGAGGAGCCCTGTGGAAGGTCTTTCATTGCCATTTGAATCCCATGGGTGGAATTTAAGGGGAAGGGGGGAGCCTGTCCTCAGTCTGCTGGTTGCTCACAAACCTTGCTTCTCACAGTGTTACCGGGACTTGGCTCTGGTGAGTCGTGATGGCATGAATATTGTCCTGAATAAGATCAACCAGATACTCATGGAGAAGTACCTGAAGTTGCAGGATACCTGCCGTACTCAGGTAAGGCCAGGAAAAGAGAAATCCAGCTTAGAGACATACTAGGCAATGGACTCTCTCTCCTAAAGGGAAGGGAAGGAGAAATTGGGGGTAACACACCTCTTCCTTTGTACACCTAAACTATAATGTGGTTGGATTCACGCCTTCCTCAAATTTAGAGGCCCTTCTCTTCATCCGCCTTTTCCTCTCTCTCTCTTTTAGTTGGTGTGGTTGGTACGGGAACTAGTGAAGAGTGGGGTTCTGGGAGCCGATGGTGTTTGCATGACATTCATGAAGCAGATTGCCGGTGAGTTTGATGGCAAGAACATAAAGAAGAAAGGAGAGGAGCCCAAAGGCTAGATGCGGGCAATGGAGAAGGATTAAGTGCCTGGGGGTCTCAATTCCTGGGTTGCCTCGACTCTTTCCTTCTGAGACAGGCCTCTCCTGGCTGAAAGAAATGGAAAAGTCACATGGGGTCTTTTGAAGCAATAAGTCTGCCTTGTTTTCCTTCCTGCCAAACTCAGGGCCTGACGTAGAATAGTTGGCCTGTTTTAGCCAGTCCTCATGCTGGGGTTTCATGGCATGTTGGATCAGGAAGGATCTGGAAGGAATGGGAAGAGACATGAGGGCAGATAATTTGTTCCCATCACATTATGCTTTCAGAAACCCAGATATCTTCCTGGGCTCCACCCCTGTGTTCTGAATGCTTGCTTCCAAATATTTATGACATCTGATGGGAACCAGTTTGAGGGAGGAACTATATCACAGAAGAGACCCTGAGATTTAGGTTTTGTTCTCTCCTTCGAATCAGTGACATCTGTCTGAGCCACCAAATATCCAAGAGGCCTGCCTGTGCTACCTCTTTTACTCCCAAGATCACGTGTGTTTGTTTTAAACTGACTCTGCTTCTCTATCTCACCATTCCCATTGGTTCTTTGCTTCCTCTTTAGGAATTTCTGTAACACTGGTGCTCCTGTTTTGATGTGCATAAACCTTACTCTGTGTGATATCTGACTATGTGAACACTGACTTTTTAAATGAGGACTAGAGCAGGCATAGTGTTGTGCTGGCTCTTTTACCTCCTGGCATTTCCTTCCCAGTTTGGTCCTCAGTCTCCTCTTCTCATCCTCAGACTTTGGTCTGACATTGCCACATGTTACTTCTGCCCCAGGAAGTTCCATAGCAAGCATGGAAGACCATGATACCTGGAAGCAAGAAACCCTTGGCCTGTCATGAGCCTGACTTGGGATTTGGAACACCCCAGTGCTGGAGTGCCACTGTCACTGGTCGCCTGCACCTCAGGCCCTATTTGAGATGTCACCCTTTCTTCCAACCGGGGGTTCTTCATGTCTCTCTCAGACATTCCCTTTCAAGGGTCAGAGTATTCCTACTGCAACCCCCAGTCTATGGAAGAGTAGCAGCTCTGGTTTCTGGAAATATCTAGAACTTACCTTCCTTTCTCTGAGGACACAAAGGGGAAACTTTATAGCCTGACTGAACAGAAGGCAGTTTTTCCAACACTCAGAACCTCCATGACAGGAGAACAGGGATGGAGAAACAGGATGGGTGAAGAAACGCTTTGGGTTAGCTGAGTTGGTGATCAGAGCCGTTCTCATTCTCTTTTCTCCCCCCCTTTGAAATCAGGTGGAGATGTTACTGCAAAAAATATCTGGTTGGCAGAGAGTGTCCTGGATATCTTGACGGAGCAGAGGTAGAGTCTGCCTTGACAGGAGCAGGTGTGGGTGTCGGGGTGTGAGCACTGATAGGTGGCCTGAGAACACCTGGGCTTAGACCCGCTGAGGTGGGGGAGGGAGAGGCAAGTGAAGGAATTAAAGCCACTCTCCGGCCCAAAGGGATGAAGGGGTGGGAAAGAAGTCCTTTGCTAAAATATTTCAGAGCCCAGGAAAAACTAGCTTCATCTGATAAGGGTTTATTTTTGATCCAGACCTCCTTGGAATGTTTATCTTTGGGGGGAGATGGGGGAGAATGAGCTCAGCAGAGTGGGGCTAGCCAACTGCCCCGCCCCTGCCTGGCAGGTACCCCTTTTCTCCCTTCCGAGGCTGTCCACCCAAACCGCGCTGTCCTGAGGTGGCAGGGGGTGCGGTGGGAGGCCAAGGTTTGCACACAGGGTTGGGGGGCTGCAGTGGTAGAAGGCATAAGGGGGCACGTTGGACTTCTGGCTAATTCCTTCCCTTTCCCATCAAAGTAAAGTAAAGGACCAGAAATTTTATGAGGGTTGTACCATATGTGCACTTGTTTGGGGTGAGGCCTTCTCTGTATGTTCCCTGCTGCTTCACAAAGAGAAGGGGGGACTTCCGTCCAGTGGCCTTGCTCTTCTGTTGCTTGACTTCTGTTTCTGTGCGAGGCCACCACAGTAGTCAGATGATTGGAAGGGCTAATAGTGCCCATATTTCCTGTGGTTCAGAAGGACAGACCTCCCGTATTCACACTTGTTCTGGGCCCTGCCCAAGCGGAGGGCTGGGTCAGGTGCCTTGCAGCGCCACCTAGTGCGCTGGGCACAGCTTGCGGCTGGGGCTGGGGCACTTCTTCCTGGTGCCACCCCACTGCCACCAGCACAGCTCGGGAGATCCCAGCAGCGTCTTGCTGGGTCGCTGCCTTTCTGGTGTCCTGGGTGGATGGTTTCACTTTCTCTTTCTCTTCATTATCCCATCCCAGGATTCAGATAATTGATCACCTCTGCTCACAGTCTTCCTGAAAACTGATTTTTCTCATTTTGTTTCTGGTGCCAAATACCCCCTTTTCCTGTGCTGTAAAGCTGAATTTTCCTCATTTGGGCAGTTAGAGCAGTCTCTATGTACATGTGTCAGATAACTGCCCTACCTTTTCTCCTACCCTCCAAAACCTCAAATCCTTTGGTGCAAGTGAGTCCCTAGATATTTAAGACTGTCTTCTACAGCCTCTCCCTCCCTCCCTCCCAGGTGTTTCTAAGGCCTTGGAATTAACAGGGAGCAGATAGGGGAGGGCCTCCCCATTGTCCTTGGCTACTGTGTTCATTCTGTGAAAGGAAAAGACCAGAGTCTTTTAATTAGGTGGCTTGAGCACTTTTCCGGAATCAGGATGTTGCCTGGTTGGATTAATTGAACTCCTCCGCTTATTCCTGTGGTTCCTTGCTTTCCAGCAGGGGTGCCAAAGCCCTTATAGCTACTTGCTTGGGGAACATAGCTCCCCGTTTTGGCACGTTGAAGCAACATTGGAGAGTTTTTGTCGTCTCTTTTAGCATTATTTTTATTTTTTTTAAAGATTTTATTTATTTACTTGAGATAGCGGGCACAAGAGCAGAGGGAGAAGCAGGCTCCTCACTGAGCAGGGAGCCCGATGCGGGGCTTGATCCCAGGACCCTGGGATCATGACCTGAGCTGAAGGCAGACTCTTAACAACTGAGCCACCCTGGTGCCCCTAATGGTTTTATTTTTTTTAAGATTTTATTTACTTATTTGAGAGAGAGAGGGAGTGCACGCACACGTGAGAGAGCATGAGCAGGATGAGGGGCAGAGAGAGAGGGAGAAACAGACTCCCCGCTGAGCAGGGAGCCCAACGTGGGTCTCAATCCAGGAACTCCAAGATCATGACTGGAGCCGAAGGGAGACGCACAACCTACTGAGCCACCCAGGCATCCCCCCTTCTACTCTTTGTGAAGCAGCAGGGAACACAGTTTTTTCATTACCCACTTTCCCCCCCATGGAAGTTCTAAAACTCCTGGGAAAATAGGCTTTTCCATCCAAAATCATGTTCTTCTTTTCAGATTGTGATTTAGGGCAGGTACCTCATTGTCTGGGAGTGGGAGCAGTGGCCAGGGAGAGAACCAGGGAAAGGCATATAGCATAGTGGGCCACTAATGATAGGCACGATGGAAGGGCTGACATGGTGTGTCCTAAAGGGTCTTCAAAGGGTCTTAACCCCTGACAGTCCTCGTTCCACATCGTAGGAACTGCTGACTTAGGGTTGCCTCTAGAACCTCTTTCTCCTATTCTCTGAGCTGTAGAGAAGCTATGGTGTATTCTCTGTCCCTAGTATCTCACATGGTGCTTGGCATATGATAGGCACTCAGTAAATGTTTGAATAGTGAATCAACGAACAGGTTGCTTTATCGGAAGCTAAGTAGTTATGCGGAAAAGAGAGATTGCTTTCATTCAGTGCTTATCTTTATCGGGCGCCTGGTAGAGCAGTAGGAAATTGTCACTACCTTAGCCAGTTGATAGTCCAAGATGGGTAATGAGCAGGCAGTCAAGGAATCAAAGAACCTCCTCCCAGTGCTAATCACCAGACATTGCTGAGGCCCCAGAGCCACGTGTGGGAGTGAATTGGGAGAGTGAATAGGCGGACAGAGCCCAAGTATCAGGTGCCCCCCTCAACTTCTGCAGGGAGTGGGTGCTGAAGAGCAGCATCCTCATTGCCATGGCTGTTTACACATACCTCCGCCTCATCGTCGACCACCACGGAACTGCCCAGCTCCAGGCCCTGCGGCAGAAGGAGGTGGACTTTTGCATGTCCCTGCTTCGGGAACGGGTAAGGATGAAAACAGTGTGGGCAAGTGAAACCCAGGGTGGGACACGTATGTGAGTTTTGTGAGGTGACCTAGGCCAAGAGATGTCATTTTGAAGAGAAAGAGGTGGTTCAAGACCTGGTGTTTTTTCATCATTCTGAGACAGAGAAAGGGGGGAGGTGGGGAATCCATGCAGAATAGCCCTGGCTCCTAGAAATGCTGTCTGTTGGACTGGCATCCTAGGGATTCTCCTGGTCAGCTTTGTAGACACTGTTGCACACCACAGACATAAACTGCCACTATTATGTCATCCTCCCCACCTACCCACCTGGGTGATGGCTGTGGTCAAGTGGGATTGTGATTTGTCCGCTGTCAGATCTCCCGAGAGAGATCTCAGAGCTATGATCTCTACTGTGGTAGCCACTTCCCATATGTGGCAATTTAAATTAATTAAAATTAAATAAAATTAAAAAATCAGTTCCTTAGTTGACTTAGCCACATTTCAAGTGCTCATTAGCCACACGTATAGTTATCCTTTTGGACAGCATAGAGATGGAGATCATTTCCATTATCACAGATTGTTCTGTTGGACTAGGGAGGGTTGGGGAAAGTTAGTTGGGGCTCAGCTTGCCAGTCCTGTCCTTTTAGAATGGTCTCTCTCCATCTTGATCACAGCCATTCTGGGAGGGGAGGGGAAAAGATTCAGGAGGAAGTCAACGGGGCTTTGGTAGTTTCCAATGGCCTGTCCTTCTGAGGTCAGTCCCCAGCTTCCAGCTCTCTTCCCCTTTGGTTCCAGAAGAAACCCTGTTGTCCCTTGGACCCTCTTTCCTTCCTTCCCTAGAACAAGCTGCTCCTTGGTCCTTCCTGCAGCAGGTAAACTCTCTGTGTTTTTATTCTCTCTCCTGTCCCTCCTCCCCTCACCAAGTTCATGGAATGTTTAATGATTGGCCGGGACCTCGTAAGACTACTTCAGAATGTTGCTAGGATACCAGAATTTGAACTGCTTTGGAAAGATATTATTCATAACCCTCAGGCCTTAAGTCCTCAGTTCACAGGTAAGTAAGGACCAGGGTATCCTGCCCTTGGAAGTTGGGAGGTCAGTGTATGTGTGCTGTGTGAATCATCCAGAGGGTAGAGGCTGGAGGTAGGAGAAGCTTTGACCGCCAGATATAGGAAGCTTGGGACTGGACAGGCTCTGCCAAGTATGGCTGAATGTGTGAATGGCAGAGGTATAGAATAATTCATGTGGTTCCCAGATAGCCCCTGCTTGGCAGACTCCAGCTGCCATTGCTGCTAAGAAAAACTGAAACAGAACTGTGATCACCCTCCTCCCCTCCCTGCAGCTCTTTGGCTTGGGAGGTGAGCTGATGACCAGCTTCCAGCCTCACTGGGTCCAGCAGGGGAGGCAGAGGTCAGCTCGTGAGACTGAGTCAGCAGAGGGGCTGGGATTAGCCTTTTAAGAGAATGAATGCTTCTCCCTGGGAGCAGTCTTGCCTCTGAATTCCAAGGATCCAGCTTAGCCGAAATTCTCTTCAGCGGAGGGAGTCTGTGTGCCTCTCCCTGACAAGGTCTTTTTGATAGCTCTTTGCCCTTCTCAGGGTCCCCATCCCACCTCCAGCATGCATGTGTGTATATGTAGATTGCGTGTGTGCATGTACATGGGTGTGCACATGGAAACAATTGTCTAGGCCCTGGAGAGTCAGGAAGGAGAGGGAAGTCCTGGTTCTCCCTTATATCGTATTGCTCTTATATTGAACATGTGTTGAGTTGTTTTGAGTGCTTACTGTGTGCTAGACACATGGATGTTAACTCATTTAATCCTCAGGACAACCCTGTAAAATGGATATTTTACTTTCCATATTTACAGATAAAGAAAATGAGGTTCAAGGAGATTAAGTAATTTGCCCAAGGCCACACAGCTAGTGAGTGTCACAGGCAGGATTTGGATCCAGGTCTGTTTGACTCCAGAGCCCGTGCCTATACCACAACACCACATTGATCCCAGGACCCAGGGATGGGACCATCAGGAACAGGAAGAGAGGCTAGGGTTTCCCCTGTTTTTCCCCTAACTTTTCCACATGTTGCCAACTGGAATAATGTGAGTAGGGGGCTCTGGATGGCCAGGAGCAGAAGAGAAGTAATATATCTGGGTCCTGGGGATGGTGGTTGGTTGGAGCAGAACATGGCAGATGCTGGTTAGAACCCCCACTTGTATCTGTGCTTGACCTCTCTTGGTCTTGTCTTAGAATTTCCCCAAGAGCAAGACCACTGGCCATCAGAACTTGGCCCAGGTTCCCCACCTGCCTTCTTTCCTTCTGGTCCTCAGGCTTGTCTCTTTTCTCTTCCCTTACACACTTCGTTCAGGTATCCTGCAGCTTCTTCAGTCAAGAACATCCCGGAAATTCCTAGCATGTCGTCTAACCCCAGACATGGAGACTAAGCTCCTCTTCATGACCTCCCGGGTAAGCTAATCTTTTGTAGCAGGAACAGAAGCTGCAGGTTGGCTGGGCTTCTTCCTCCAGCCTGCAGATGCCTTACCCCTGAGTGCTGACTGGCAGAGTGGTGGTCAGGTGGGTACCCAGTCTACCTGGCATTGGGCAGGGTGCTACGAGCTGGGAATACAGAGTTGAGTAAAAGAGGTACATCCAGTTGGAGCTCTTGTGAAGATTCCAGTCTGTCTAAAACTGTCGTTAAACCAATAATTATACACAAATTATGTAATTTACAAGTATGAAATTTTGGACTGTAAAAGAGTAGAGTGTTCATTCTGGGAAACCCACTGTTCCTTGGGCTGCATGTGAGTTCTCAGGAAGAGAGCTATGGCCTTTTGGTTTCCAAACATGGCTGAGTTATGGTAGAATTACTTGAGCAACATGTTAAAAATACATCTTCCTAGATGCTAGTCTCCCAGATAATCTGATTGAGGAATCTATGTTTTTAACAGAGAGTTTCCAGGCAACAGCTCCTCTACAGCCAGTCTGGGGTTGGGAAGCCACTGGCCTAGTCCACTTTTGTTTTCTTGAGTCATGCAGGAGAGCCGTCCAGATCTGTGTTATCCCATGTGGTAGCCACTAGCCATGGGTTACAATTTAAAGTAGTTAAAGCAAGGGGCTCCTGGCTGGCTCAGTTGGTGGAACGTGTGACTCTTGATCTCAGGGTCATGAGTTTAAGCCCCATGTTGGATGTAGAGATGACTTAACAAAATCTTAAAAAAAAAAATTTGGGGGGGGGGAACGCCTGGGTGGCTCAGTGAAGCGTCTGCCTTCGGCTCATGTCATGATCCCAGGGTTCTGGGATCGAGTCCTGCATCAGTTCCCTGCTCAGAGGGGGATCTGTTTGTCCCTCTGCCTGCCACTCCCCCTCTGACAAATACATAAATAAAATCTTTAAAAAAAAGGGACGCCTGGGTGGCTCAGTCACCTAAGTGTCTGCCTTCGGCTCAGGTCATGATTCCAAGATCCTGGGGTTGAGACCCACATCGGGCTCCTGGCTCAGTGGGGAGCCTGCTTCTCCCTCTGGCCCTCCCCCTGCTCATGCTCACTCTCTCTTTCTCTCTGACAATGAAATCTTAAAAAAAAATTTTTTTTTAGGGGCACCTGGCTGGCTCAGTCGTTAAGCGTCTGCCTTCAGCTCAGGTCAGCCCCGCATCGGGCTCCCTGCTCAGCGGGAAGCCTGCTTCTCCCTCTCCCACTCCCCCCTGCTTGTGTTCCCTCTCTCGCTTTGTCTCTCTCTGTCAAATAAATAAATAAAATCTTTGAAAAAAATTTTTTTTAAATAAAGTAGTTAAAGCTAGGTAAAATTAAAAATTCAGTACCTCAGTTGCATTAGCTACATTTTTTTTTTTTTAAGATTTTATTTATTTATTTGAGAGAGAGAGAATGAGAGATAGAGAGCACGAGAGGGAAGAGGGTCAGAGGGAGAAGCAGACTCCCCGCTGAGCAGGGAGCCCGATGCGGGACTCGATCCCAGGACTCCAGGATCATGACCTGAGCCGAAGGCAGTCGCTTAACCAACTGAGCCACCCAGGCGCCCGCATTAGCTACGTTTTAAGTGCTCAGTAGGCACCATCGTTGCAGAAAGTTCTACTGGACAGTGTTGATCTAGTTGTATCTTTTCTTTTCTTTTTTATATTGTATTTGTTTATTTGAGAAAGAGAGCGTACTCGTGAGAGAGAGCATGAGCAGAGTGAGGGGCAGAGGAAGAGGGAGAAGCAGACTCTCCACTGAGCAGGAGCCTGATGTGGGGCTCGATCCCAGGGCTCCAGGATCATGACCTGAGCCAAAGGCAGATGCTCAACCAACTACCCCTGTTTCTTTCTTTTTATTCCTTCTCCTCACTGTTTAGTTTGAATTTGGGGAATAGAAGGGGAGAAAACCACATCTCTCTTACTTAGTGTTGCTGTTATACCACTTTAGAGTGTGATCGGGGAAGGAGTTGCTGCAAGAAGGTTTGGAGAGTCTGTGTACCTGGGATAGTGACCCCGTAGGTTGCTGAACATCAGAAAGCTCTGTCAGTGCTGAGTGGCAAACAGGCTCCACTCTTGTTCTCGAGGAACACTCCTTTTTGGCCACAAGGGGCTCTAGAAGATAAGAAAAGATGATGCTTAGGACTAGAGCCTCTGTGACCAGAACAGGAGAAAGGAGCCAAAAATGGGCTGCAGTCACAGTTGGGGGTAAATGTTTAGGACATTAGGTGGGTGGCAGGAATGAAGGCATCCCTGGCACAAGAGGTGAGTGAGAAAGAGTCTCGGCACTTTTTTCAGTCAAGGACTGTTTAAATCAGGAAGTCTTCCCAAAGGAGGAGAAGTCAAGAAGAAAGTGAGTTTATGAATGAGTGGAGGGAAGAGATTGAAGTCTGGGTCAAGCCTAGTGTCATTTTCCTCTGCCCGGAGACCACACCCTTCCTTCCGAGTTTCTCTCCAACGCCCCCTTCCTCCAGGTGCGGTTTGGTCAACAAAAGCGTTACCAGGATTGGTTCCAGCGCCAGTACCTGTCAACCCCAGACAGTCAGTCTCTGCGCTGTGACCTCATTCGCTACATCTGTGGGGTTGTCCACCCTTCTAACGAAGTGCTGAGTTCAGATATCTTGCCCCGATGGGCCATCATTGGCTGGCTCCTGACAACATGCACGGTGAGGGGCTGGGCTGTGGGATGGAGGCTCTCGGGTGGTGAAGAGTCCTCTTCCCTTGAGTTCCCCCTATTTCCATGCTTCCATGCTGCACTGGTTGGGCATAGACCTGTCTCTCCAACTGCCTCTCTGGGCCTCCTGACCCCTACGGGCCCTTCCTTCACTGTCTTCCTGCTGAATGTCTGCGCCTTCGTCCAGCCTCCATCCATGTCCCTCGAAGTGGACTACACTCATTATTCCCCATCTGGGTTTGGGGTTGAACAGGTCCATCTCCGCCTTTACTGCCGATCCTTGAGCCCAGATTTCTCAGCCCCCCCCCCCCCGTCTTTCCTTTTAGTTTTCAGAACCATATATGGTCGTTCCTCTGAATGGTTCCTTCCTCAGATTCAGGGCTTGTGTTCCTTAGACCCTCACTTGGCAACCTTTTGGCATCAGCTTTGGATACTAATGCAAACATAGGGACTCCATGGCACAGCCATGTCTTTCCCAGCATTTTTCTCCCTATTCCTTGGGTCGGAAACTCCAAATTGTCTGCACTCTGGCCTCTAGTTGCCTTTTGACACGCCCCCCCCAACTGGGTCCTTGGAATGTGCTGATTCAGACACAACAACAGGCTGTTCCTAGGGGGTCTTTCAGTCAGGAATGTGCCTGGGGAGCCCAGCAGGGGCAGCCTAGGCGCTGGTCTGAATGTGTGTCAGTGAGGTCCCAGCTCCTTTTCTAGGATCAAGGATGTGTTCTTCTGGATGTATGAGAACCCAGGTCAATCCCTGGCCCCTTGGTCAGTGAGAACACGGCCACTTGCACTCTTAGGCAGACTTGTGTGCCCCTCACCCCTGGGGGGTTCCATCTGTCTCACTAGGAAGTGAATTTATTTCATAGATGGGCAGTTGTGTGGGCCCTGGAGGCTGCCTTGCGCTTCTGAAGGGAAGGGAGCTGGTTGATGAAATCAGCCCTCCCTTCTCCTCTCTATTCCAGTCAAATGTCGCTGCCTCCAATGCCAAGCTGGCTCTGTTTTACGACTGGCTGTTCTTTAGCCCAGACAAGGATAGCATTATGAACATAGGTATGTGACCAGACGGGGCAACACCGCCCCCATCTCCCAAGCCCCCGCCTAGCCTTGGTGACAGTAGTCATAAATCTCAGGGCAGCCTGGGGAGAGGCAGCTTATCCGGGAGCAGTTCCATTGTTCCTCACCAGTGCTCACTTGATGTAGAAGGAAGATTGCTTTTATGAAGCCAAGCGCTCACTCCCCCCCTTTTGCCCTAGAGCTTATGCTTGGGCTTCTGGTGGGGAGGGCCTAGGCACAGGGCTGTGCCACACCCTGCTTTTCCTCTCCTGCCACTTCTATTCTCCAAGCTATATGCTGGGGACAAGGGAGATGAGAGCTAGGAGCTGTTTCGGGGCTTGTCTGCTTTTGGTTCTGCTCAGTGGGACTAGGGGGTAGGGATACAGCTTTCTCCCGAACCATGCATAAGTATTGATGCTTTGTTTCATGGAGCTGGGAACAGACTGTCTGATGTGGGGGCCCTTTCATTCCACCTTCCCCAGAACCGGCCATCCTGGTCATGCACCACTCCATGAAGCCCCACCCAGCCATCACTGCCACACTCCTGGACTTCATGTGCCGTGTAAGTGTGTGTCCCCTTCACCTTATAGGCCTGCAAATAGGTCTTCTCAGTGCCCTTCATCGTGGGAGCAGCTGTGGTCATAGGTCCTACCCCCCAGGTTAGTGAATGCTCCCCTTCCATATTCCTGCCATGTCCCGTGGGATCTTTCCATGTTTTTCTTGACCTCAGGGATAATGACTTAAGGTAGAATCTGGTCCCTCTGAGGTGCAGCCAGGTCTAGGAAGAATTAACCATTTTAGCAACCTGGAATGGTGAGGAATATTCCAGACTTTTCTGCAGCCCTACTTGTGTTTTCTGATCAAAACTGAAGCAGCTTTTTAGCTCTAGTTCAGCAGAACACTCTGTGTTGTGTGCTCATTCTTTGCTTCCTTTCTTCCCTTCCAGATCATTCCCAACTTCTATCCACCATTGGAGGGCCATGTGCGACAGGGTGTGTTCTCCTCCCTCAACCACATTGTGGAGAAACGGGTCTTGGCGTAAGAACTTTACGTGTCTGTAAGCAGCGGGGAGGGGCTGTTTTCTCATGTGTCACTCGGTCACGCCGTTCAGAAACTGTCCTAGCACTGCTGACTTTTCCTGACAGGAAGTACTGGCTCTGCCCCCAACTGCTGAGACCGTGTCCTCTTGACAGTTAGAGAAATTTTGGTCTTGTCGTCACATTCCAGGGGTCTGAGTATGGCCCAGCTCCACTGGTTGGGCATAGACCTGTCTCTCCAACTGAAGTGACGAGCTCTTATGTTGACCTTCATTCATGTTCCCCCCCAGGCATTTGGCTCCCCTATTTGACAACCCTAAATTGGATAAGGAGCTTCGGGCAATGCTGAGGGAGAAGTTTCCCGAGTTCTGCAGTTCGCCTAGCCCACCAGTGGAAGGTATGGGGCCCTCCCATTCTATCACCTGTTTGAGAAGAGGGATGGAGACACCCAGGGCTCTCAGCCTGGAGCCCCATGTATGTCGCCCCAGGGCGATTCTTCACCTCTGTGACTGTCCATTTCAGGTTTTTGTTCCGCACTTTCTCTTTAATGAGTTTTTGTGTTGTCTTCCTTGGTTCTCCCTCTCCATCTGATCTTACCTGACTTTTACTGACCTCTCTTGCTCCTCAGCTCCTGTGTCTTCTCTCAGTAGCCTACCCTGCATAGGGAAGGCTTTCATGGGTATTTGTGTTTGCTTCACTGTAACTTCATGCGACTCTTCTCTCTTCCCATCCCCGGGCCCTGAGTCCTGATAAGAGGTGGTCATGTTGGTTCTCAAGTCTTGCTCCCAGTTATACACATACACCCTTTTTCGTTTTGGGGTAAGGCTTAAGCCAAGCAGAACTTCCCAGCTTGGTTTTAAAGTGAAGAGTACTTGGGACTGTCCCTGGTCTTACCTACTCGTCAATGCAAGCTATGCACAGCAGGCATTTCCTATACCATTCTTATCCCTGGCAGAATTGCCCTGCAAGTCGTGAAAGGTTGTGAGGACAAGATGTCTGCCCTTCCGGGGTCTGTAATCCACCTGCCCCCCAAGTTAGGCATGTTAGGTCACAGGAGGCCATCAAATGCCTTGTCTCTTTCCTCCTAAGTCAAACTTGAGGAGCCGGTTTCTGTGGAGATGGACAACCACATGTCAGACAAGGATGAAGGTTGCTATGACAATGCAGAGGCAGCCTTCAGTGACGATGAGGAGGACCTCAGCAGCAGAGGTGGGCACAGCAGCGAAGGGGCTCTGGTGGCATCACCCCTAAGAGGACCAGGTGGAAGGAGCAGTCTCTCTGCGGCCTCTCTGTTGCCTTGGCCCCCTGTGTTAGTCTCGTTAGCAGGGTTACTGGATGGGACTCCAGGGCGCAGAGCCCTGCCCTTGGCCCTGAAGCAGGAGGGAGAGAAGGAGGAGTGGCCCCTGCCCTTGTGTGCTCCTAAGGCTGGGTGTGTCCACATCCACGTCACATGCACACCTGGCATGTGGGGCTGTCCCTGCTGCTGGTGTCTGGGCAAATGACCGCTTTCCTGAATCATTCCCTTCAGGAAAGAAGAGAGAGTTTCGCTTCCACCCTATCAAGGAGACAGTTGTGGAGGAGCCAGTCGATATCACCCCTTATCTTGACCAACTGGATGAGTCCCTAAGGGACAAAGTGCTTCAGCTCCAGAAGGGGAGGTGGGTGCAGCTCCTGTCCTCAGCCTCAGGAGGCTCAGCCCCAGGCTTTCTCCCTGCTACCTGGTGGGGTGGTGGGGAGTATGGAGAGGTAGTAGAAGCTCCGCAATGTGCCTTCTGCAGTTTGGGTTGGGGGGTATGGGCTGGGGGAAGGCAGCCTCGTTCCCCAGCATGCAAGTCGCATTCTGTAGGTTCTGAGGACAAGAGTCTCTGAGAACCAAAGTGGGATGATGGGGATTTCCTTGCCTTAGGGCCTCTTCCCGGAGAGTAGCAAATTCTGCCCTAAAGCCTCCCTGACCCAAGCCCGGATTCATATAGAGCTCCTTTGTTTTGTCTGTGCATGAGTGGTCTTTGCTGGTTGAGTGTCCTGCCCTCTGCTGTCATTACGTCCCTGAGATTTCCTCTCAATTCTGCACTACAGTGATACCGAGGCCCAGTGTGAGGTCATGCAGGAAATCGTGGACCAGGTCCTAGAGGTGAGGAGATCCCACCCCCTGAGGAGGAAGCAGCCTAGCCCACGCAGCGCAGAACTCCCCCACCCAAGCAGCTGACTCCTTCCCGTCCTCAAGATGGGTCCCCTCTGGTGGCACAGGGCTTTGTCGATCCTGGAGGTGGAAGCAGATTGAGTGCAGAGCCTCCGGGTCGTGGGGGCAGTAAGGCTTGGGTCCCATGGTGATACCTCCTCACTTGTCTCACCACCAGGAAGACTTTGACTCGGAACAGCTGTCTGTCCTTGCTTCCTGCCTACAGGAGCTCTTCAAGGCCCATTTTCGAGGGGAGGTGTTGCCTGAGGAGATCACCGAGGAGTAAGGCTTATCTTTCCTGACCCCTCCATCTACCCACTGGCTTCTGGGAGCCAGAAGTATGCTCTTAGAGCCCTAGTCCAGGAGGCATCTTGCTGTAGACCTGAGAGAAATAATCTTCACTTATTTTACTTTTTTTTTTTCACGATTTTATTTTCAAGCAATCTGTACACCCAGCATGGGGCTTGAACTCAGACCCCGAGATCAAGAGTCACACGCTCCACCGACTGAGCCAGCTAGGCGCCCCTCTCTTTGTTTTTATTCTCACGTGTGCTGATTCACTTAAGGATTCATTTTTGTCTGCTGAATGCGGAGCGTGGGGCAGAGACTAGGGCCCCTTCCTGTGTGCCCAGCCCTTCCTGCTGTAGGTGGGATTGGACCCTTGCCTGGACCCTCCCAGAAGGGCAGGAATCTCATTTTCTTTTTCTTTTTTTTTTTTTTTAAAGATTTTATTTTTAAGCAATCTCTATACCCAACATGGGGGCCCAAACCCACAACCCGAAGATCAAGTGTTGCATGTTCCTCCAACTGAGCCAGCTGGGCGCCCCAGGAATCTCATTTTCAATGACAGTCACTACCCAGACTGTGGTGTATGTTAGGAATCTGTCTTCTCTGTGACCGAGCCTCTGGGACAGCAGGAAGTTGACCTTTGGTTTGGAAAGGAGCAGGCTGGCATCTAGCCTCCATAATGTCTGCCTGCAGCCCATCTTCTCTACTCATGTGGACTCTTAGATGTCACCCTCCTCTTGCAGGTCCCTGGAGGAGTCTGTGGGAAAGCCTCTCTACCTAATATTTAGGTAAGGGTCCAGCTGTAGGAGACACTGCTGGGCCATCTGTCCTTCCTCTCAGCAGTCCTATGCTTCTGTCCTAGGGTAATGGGACTCCTTTTCCAGAGGGGAGGGATATGCAATGGGCACAGATAGCTCATGCCTCCACAGGAGAGTCGCCCTACATACAGCTCTGCTCCCCCCTCCCCCTCCCCCTCCAGGAACCTGTGCCAAATGCAGGAAGACAACAGCAGCTTCTCTCTGCTTCTGGATCTTCTCTCTGAGCTCTATCAAAAACAGCCCAAGATTGGCTACCACCTGTTGTACTACCTGAGGGCCAGGTGGGTGTGGTCCCCACATTGGAGAAGGTGTCCTGGAGAGCCTCTCCTACGCACACTGATTCCCCCGCCCTCGGCTGTCACCACCACGGCCTTCCGTGTGTTGCTTTCTTTAATAACAGCTTTAAAACCACAATTCGGTGGTTTAAAGTATATTCCCCAAGTTGTACAATTGTTGCTGCTGGCTAATTTAGAAAATTTTCATCACCTGCAAGAGAAACCATGTCCCAGCTAGCAGTCACCTTCCCATTGTCCCTTTCACCCCACCCCTGTCAACCACGGATCTGCTTTCTGTCTTTATAGATTTACTTATTCTGCATGTTTCGTATAAATGGAATCATACAGCGTGTCGTTTCTCATGACCGGCTTTGTCACTTAGTGTAGTGTTTTCAAGGTTTATCCCTGCTGTAGCTTGTGTCAGAACTTCCTTTTTTTATGCCCAAATAATACTCCACTGTCTAGATATACCACAATTTGTTTATCCGTTCACCCAGCGATGGACATTTGATTTGTTTCCGCTTTTTTGTCTATTGTGAAAAGAGCTGCTGTGAACATTCACATACAGATTTTTACCTGGACACAGGTTTTCAATTTTCCTGGGTATATATACCTAAGCGTAGTTGCTGGTCGAACGGTAACTCCATCTCTAACTTGGTGAGGACCTGCCGAACTACTTTCCAGAGTGATTGCAGCCACTTTCCGTTGCCACCTGCTGGGGGGGAGGCTTCTAGTGCTTTCACAGGCTTCCCAACCTGTCGTCGTGCCAGCTTTTTCATTACAACCATCCTAATGGGTTTGTGGTTTTGATTTGCATTTTCCTGATGGCTAATGATATTGAGCAGCTTTTCATGTGCTTGTCATTGGCCATTTACATATTTTCTTTGGAGAAATGTCTGTTCAGATCCTCTCCTGTTTTTTGTTTTTGTTTTAAGACTTAGTGTGCGCAGCGGAGACGGGCACAGGGACAGGGAGAGTCTTAAGCAGACTCCACACTGAGCGCAGAGCCTGATGCGTGGCTTGATCCCACCACCCAGAGATCATGACCTGAGCCGAAGCCAGGAGTCGGACGCTTGACCGACCGAGCCACCCTGGCACCCCTCCTCTCCTCTCCTGTTTCTGTTTGTTTTTTTTTTTTTAAAGATTTTATTTATTTATTTGACAGAGAGAGACACAGCAAGAGAGGGAACGCAAGCAGGGGGAGTGGGAGAGGGAGAAGCAGGCTTCCCGCGGAGCAGGGAGCCCGGTGCGGGGCTCGATCCCAGGACCGTGGGACCATGACCTGAGCCAAAGGCAGACACTTAACAACTGAGCCACCCAGGCGCCCCCTCTCCTGTTTTTTAATTGGGGTTATTCATCTTTTTATTGTTGATTTTTAAGATCTTTTTTTATATATATACTGGATACAAGTCCCTTACGAAACATAACGTTTGCAAATATTTTGTCATTCTGCGGGTTGTCTCTTTACTTCCTTGATGGCATCCTTTGAAACACAGATGTTTTACTTTTTTTTTTTTAAGATTTTATTATTTATTTGACAGACACAGCAAGAGAGGGAACACAAGCAGGGGGAGTGGGAGAGGGAGAAGCAGGCTTCTCGCAGAGCAGGGAGCCCGATGTGGGGCTCGATCCCAGGACCCTGGAATCATGACCCGAGCCGAAGGCAGACGCTTAACAACTGAGCCACCCAGGCGCCCCTTTCCCGTGTTTTCTTCTAGGAGTTGTATAGTTTCAGTTCTTAACATTTAGGCCTATAACCCCTTTTGAGTTGTTTTGTATGTGATGTGAGGTGGGGGCCTCTATGTGGTGTTGTCCTCATTGCTCAGAGCCCTGAAATCAGGAAGCGAGCTTTCTAGCCTGAGCTAAGCCCTCTCCTGTGTTCAACTCTCGCCAGTTAGCAGCTTCATTAACTGTGGTCAGCGCCCTGTCTGGAGCACTGGGGAGGGATGGGGAGAAAGAAAAGTGTGTCCTGGTTTTTATAAGTTACCAAGCTCTTGAGGAAGGCAGGGGAAAGCCATGAGACTGATTAGCCCAGAGCATCGATTGCAGAGGAGGACCTACTTAGGGGATGTCTGAGGCTGGATGCTGGCTTAGGCCCAAATGCTCTTGCAGCAAAGCTGCTGCTGGGAAGATGAACCTGTACGAGTCATTTGCCCAGGCCACGCAGCTGGGTGATCTGCACACCTGCTTAATGATGGACATGAAGGCCTGCCAGGAAGACGATGTGCGGCTGCTGTGCCACCTCACACCCTCCATCTATACAGAGGTCAGTGTCTTTGATGGAGTCCCGCTGAGGCAGGGCAGCGGTGCAGGGCAGGTTCACGGGTCTGCGCATCTCTGCTGGCCTGGGCAGGCGGTTTTTTCCAGCACCACATCTGCCCGTCGGCCCCCCTCCCATTAAAGGTTAAAAAATGTCTAAAACCCACAGAATTCCTATCCTGTGCTTTGTGGTGTGAGTTGGGGTCTGGGCCTCTACACTTGGCTTCTCAGCTTTGGCCCCATCCTCTGGACCCAGGACAGGCCCCAGCCAAATCCATGTTCACACATTGCAGGCCCTCTTGCCATTTGATTGCTCACTCTCAGTTTCTCTAGTGGTTCCCAAAGACCAGGGCCTTTGTGGTGGAGACTCCACTTTCATTTCCCTCATTCACTCACTGTCTTCTCTAGGAACTGGGACATCAGAGGAAGTATCAGCTCTTCCTCTTGGTGAAAGTTCCTGGGAACAGGGAAATCAGGGCACGGGATGTGGGCATGACAGGAGGAACTGTGATCTCAGCCAAAAACTGCAGGGGGAGGGGTGCACATACCCAGCATGTGGCAGTTTCCTCCTCTGCTCCCTCCCTGGTAAACTGGCCTTCCCAAGAAGGGGTCCTGCCTGCCTGTCATGCACCCCAAACACTCACACTCTGCGCCTTCTCTTCTTTGGCTGAGGGTTAATATAGATCGGATTTTTTTTCCTGCCAGGGACGCAAATGCTTATTTTTCTTACTGCTGCCACACACCACTCACCAGCCATGGCCAGTCCTTTTTGGCTCTAGCTTCATCTCTAGATGGCTCCCCATTGCTTTCCTGAGACACACACACTCCTCATGCTGTGGGCACACAAATAGCAAATTTGGGTTTTGGAAGAGTTGGAATCCCAGCTTCACAGCTGTTGGATCTTTGTTTAGGTATTTGTGTTAGAACCCACATCTGGCTAACCCAGCCATTCCCTGAGCATGTGGGAAGAAAGGGGAGTGGATTATGAGGTACAGGTCAAGGGGTGCACCCTGGACTCCTGCCCCAGTTTCCCTCTTTTTCTGTCCAGTTTCCAGATGAGACCTTGCGGAGTGGCGAGCTGCTGAACATGATTGTGGCCGTTATTGACTCTGCACAGGTGCACAAGGAGCTGTCATCCTGGGAGGCCTGGGCAGTGGTGGGGGAGGGGGGCCTGCACTTGTGTGCACTTCAGGCCTGGGGGCTGGAAGGGAAATGGATCCCAGGGAGGCAGGCGGGGCTCATTCTCTCCTGGGTACTCCAGTTCCACATGGAAAGCTAGGAGGTGGGTTTTTTTTAGCTTTCAACCGGCTGTCCCCTTGGCTCAGGATGAAAATGATCAGGCCATTGACCTTTCCACCACGGACAGGGCCCCGGGAGGCTGCAGCTTTGCTTGTGCGTTTTTCTCGTGCTGAACTGAGGTCCCGTTTCTGCTCCTCTCCACTCCCTTGCCCCATGTATGACAGAAGAGCCCTTCTTTCTTTGCCTTTCTCCTACCCACACCTCTGTTCCAGACTCAGCCTCCCAGGGCCCTTCCCTCCTCCTCAGGCACAGGCTGGTGTGGGTCAGGGCCCAAACTAGGGTGAGGTAGACAAGTGTCCATTCTCCCTCTGCTGTCAGGGCCTGGAAACCACTTTAATGGTTTTCTTTAACTATTTTGCCCCAAACAAGCCTTCACCTGTTCTTCACCAGCCCCTGCATCCTTCAGAGACCTCCCCATGCCTTTAAACCAAGTTTTCCCTTCCTCTGGTTTTTTCCCCATGTGAGCCCTCCTGCTTCTCTTTCCATACTGGCTTCCTGGCTGCTTTTAGAACCAATGGGTCTTGCCTTCTTCCTTCTCCTCCTCAGCTCCAGGAGCTGGTTTGCCACGTGATGATGGGGAACCTGGTTATGTTTCGAAAGGACTCTGTCCTCAACATACTCAGTAAGTGAGCAGACCCTGCAGGCACCCCGGGGGGAAGAGACGTGTGGCAGCCCTGGATGTTTTCTAGTAACAGCATAGCTGGCTCGGGCTGAGAATGGGGTAGACCGTCACTCTGCCCTGCTCTGTGGTCTTGGGCAGTGTTTCCGGATCTGCTTAAGCTCAGGGCTGGTGGGACTATAGGAGTGAAGTCTTTGAAAATAATGCTTTGTGTGGAAAGGGAGAGTAGCTGTAGTGTTGGGGTCACTGTCCTCACCTGTGTATCACCCCTGCTTGGGATGCTGTTAGTGAATTAGCCCTATGTGTGTGTGAAGGAGAGAGAGAGCAAGCGCGAACATGCCCCTTCTCTGTCCCCTGCAGTCCAGAGCCTGGACTGGGAGACCTTTGAGCAGTACTGTGCCTGGCAGCTCTTCCTGGCTCACAACATCCCCCTGGAGACCATAATCCCCATCCTGCAGCACCTCAAATACAAAGGTGAGTAGGGCTGTGGGCAGGGAGAATTGAGGGAAGGACCGTCCCAGTCCCTCTGGGGCAAGGCTGAGGCCCCTAGGCTTCTGGATGATCAGACCCACTGCTGCCCCTCCCAGCGAAGTCCGGAAGGCCAGGCTCCCTGGTCAGTCACTTAGGCTCTTCAGATGAGTCCTACAGGCAGGTCCACTCTGAGCCAGGCACAAGCTGGGCCTCAGGCCGCTCGGGATTTTCTAGAAGCAAGGGATTGTTCTTCCTGGCTCCTTGGGGAAGACTGTCCTTGCTCCTTCGAGTGGCTATTAACTGGGGGATGGGAGAGGTACCAAGATTCTTCCTGGAATTCTACAACCCTCTGAGCAGCCTCTGCCCTCCCCCACAGAGCACCCAGAGGCCCTGTCTTGCCTGCTGCTGCAGCTCCGAAGAGAGAAGTGAGTTCTACTTCCGGGGACTCGAGCTCCCAATCACAGCATACCGAGAGAGAGCATCCTGTAAAGGGTTCCTGGCTGCTCCTTCAGGAGGCTGGCCATGCTTTTTCCTACTGTAGACATCTACATATTCTGCCCTTCCCCTAAAATGATTTACAAACATGCAGCTCCCCTGGGATCTGAGCTTCCTCTCTACTTGACGCCCCGGCCCACCAGGAGCTGCCCTGGGACGAGGGGGTAGGGGGTGGGGACCGGACATCCCGGTTTCCTGCTCCCCACCCCTACTCTGCTGAGGCCACCTTAGGCTGATCCTAGAGGAGGCTGGGTCAGAGTACAGGGGTGGGGCCTGGAGGGGGAGCCAGCAGAGGCCCCTCCACCCTCCAGCACAGGCACCTTCCCAACAGCCCAGATAAGTAGAACAATAGCTGTGTATCTTTTCTTTCTACCTTGCGTTCCACCTTTTCTGCTCTCTTGCCCGAGACTAGAAGTGGTACAGAACATCCTAAAGGAAGTGGGCAGGTTGAGGGCTGTGGCTTGCCAGCCCCCTCCCCTGCGCCTTCTCAGGCTAGATACTGTGTGGTCGTTTTGCCTCCCGGGCCCATTTTCTGACTGTTCTGGGCAAGGTGGGAGAGATTTGGTGAGCCCCCCCCACCCCCAGTATACATACCAGCTACTACTGCAGAAACTGAAGAATCACTTGTGTCTCCTGGCTTCGGCAAAGGACGAAACCAGCATTCCTTGGCCCAGAGAGGAGAGGGAGAGGGTGTGAGAGCAGGAAGCTGCAGCGACGTGGTTGGGGGTAGGGGGCTGAGGTTTGGGGAGTCAGTAGGTGGGAGAGACCAGGGGATCCTGAGGCCAGCTGTGTGAGCAGGGTGCCTTCCACTCCTCTCACACCCCCAGGCCCAGCGAGGAGATGGTGAAGATGGTGTTGAGCAGGCCCTGCCACCCTGACGACCAGTTCACCACCAGCATCCTGCGGCACTGGTGCATGAAGCATGACGAGCTGCTTGCCGAGCACATCAAGTCCCTGCTCATCAAGAACAATAGCCTCCCGCGCAAGAGGCAGAGGTGGGAGCAAGACGCAGAGGGGGGACGTGGGCCCTGTGGAGGGCTGCCCACTGTCCACAGGCCATCACCAGGGCAATTCCTTCCTTGTTAGTGGGTGACACCTAGTGGTCTTGAAGCTACATGGTGTACGGGCCCACTCTGGCCCCTCCCCCTCCTTCCCTAGTGCCTCGTGTCTGGTCCCTGTTCCACCCCATCCTTACCCATATGGGCTGCGTCTGTCTTCAGGAGGGGCCCTGGTGAGGAGGGTTTCCCACACTCCTGGAGCCCTCCCCTCAAGCTCAGACTCTGGCTGTGTGACTTCCCTGCAGCCTGAGGAGCTCCAGCAGCAAGCTGGCCCAGCTGACTCTGGAGCAGATCCTGGAGCACTTGGACAACCTGCGCCTCAACCTGACCAACACCAAGCAGAACTGTATGCGTTGCAGACCCTCGCTCAGACCAGCCCTAGAGTGGGTGGGGGCAGGGGCAGGAGAGTTGAGTGAGTTTCTGGACTGCTCACTGTCCTTCCTTCCCTGCTCTCCCTCCTCCCTCTAGTTTTTAGCCAGACCCCAATTCTCCAGGCTCTGCAGCACGTGCAGGCAAGCTGTGACGAGGCCCACAAGATGAAGTAAGGCCTTGGGAAGCAGTGGGAGGGGTCCTGCCCAGGACAGAGAAGAGGCTGGGAGGAATGTGCTGAGGGTGTGTTCTTTCCCTCAGGTTCAGCGATCTCTTCTCCCTGGCTGAGGAATATGAGGACTCATCCACCAAGCCGCCCAAGAGCCGGAGAAAAGCAGCTCTGTCCAGCCCCCGCAGTCGAAAGAATGCCACACAGCCCCCCAATGCTGAGGAAGAGTCAGGCTCCAGCAGTGCCTCGGTGAGAGCCCTCATCTCTGTGCTCAGCAGCAGGAACAGTGGGAGCGGGTGGGGCTGGGACTAGTAGCTGCTCAGGCTAATGACCGGCCCCCCCCATCTCTTCCAGGAGGAAGAAGACACAAAACCGAAGCCTACCAAGCGGAAACGAAAAGGGTCCTCTGCAGTGGGGTCTGACAGTGACTGAGGCCCCCCGTGTTCCTCCATCCCACCCCCAGTTGGACTGCCCTCCCCTCCTTGGTGAATCAGAGGTTAATAAGGGCTGGGGAGATAGTGGGGAGACACCCTCTCCCTCTGCTCAAGGCTCGCCTGGTGGGAAGGATGAGTTGCTTCCTTTGGCTCAGCCTGAGAAGCTGCCATGCAGCTCCAGCCCCTGCTCCCTGCTGTCCAGGCGCCTCCAGCCCCATCACACTGCTGCTCCCACTGACTTGGGTCCCACTGAAGCCAGAGGCTGTGTGAAATCTGGGCTGGTGCAGGTCCTCAGCCCCTGCCCCTCCCCAGCCTCCCAAAGAGAAGAGAAATGGCAGATGGGGCTTGCTGGTCAGAGAGGCCAGGATGGGAGTGAAGACAGTGTATGGATGCCCCTTCCACATGTTCCCCATCCGGCCTTGATTTGCTCCTAACAGGCATTTTATAGTTGCTCTCCATCCTCCCGTGTGAAATGGGCATTTCATCAGTGATGTGGCCCAGCTGCCTGCCTGTTCCTCCACATGGGGCACATGCCGTAAGAGTTCAGGCAGGGACCGAGGGCAGAGGGAGGCCAGAGCCCTTGGGACTCCCAGAGAGAGACTTCCACAGAACTGTCAAATGGTCCCATTTCCTCAGTTCTGTCTTTTTGGGGTTTTTTTTGTTTTGTTTTTTTTGGCAGAGATAATCGCGTTTTAAAAGTTTTTAAATGACAATAAAACAAGCCAGAACCTCTTTTGTGCTGGAGTTGCTGGCCCAGGTGCTCTTACCGTGTGCACCTAACTGGTTGCCCCCCCTCCCCTGCTCCCCTGGTGGCCTCAGAACTTCCCCTTTTCCCTTCCCGAACACCCCCTTGTCTGGAGCAGGAGGGGCTTTTTGCCGCCCCCCTCCTGCCCAGACCTTCCTGCTGCCACTGGGGCTGTGGGCCAGGCACTGACCTGTCCAGGCACCATCTCCCGTTAAGTTGAACCCTACTTCTCTGTCAAGAAACTAGAGGCTTCCAAAAGTGAGTCTTAGTAGATCTGTGTGCTTACCAACTATTGGTGGATGGCTTGGGGGTGAAGGATGCCCCCAACTCAGATTCTGATGGACAGAAGTGGGCCTGGTGGGGAGAGTTCAGACACCAGCAAGAAGGAACCAACCGTCTTTGTTCCACCGTCTGGCCACTTGCCATCTCCTGTGTCCCAGCAGAAAAGAATCCCCTAGGCTGCCCAGGAGGCTGGGTGGCCAACGGAAGAGAGAGGAATGAGGTCTTGGTGGAGGACAGAGGGCTCCTGCAGAATCCAGTGTCCCCCTTCCTCAAAGCTGTTATGCCTTCCTTTAAAAATCTTAGTTGCGGAAGGCCTCTTCCTCTCCCCCTTCCCGTTCCCTCTGCCCCAATTAAAACCAGGATGGAGAGCATTCGCTGGCTGTCCCCAATTATTGTGCCCTTGCCCGGAAGGAGGGGCCTCCGCAGTCGCCCCTCCAGAACTCTGGCTGGCTGGGCCCCCACCCATCCCCTGGGGCTGCTGCTGGCGCTGGGGGAGGGCACGGGTCTGGCAATCGGGCCGGGTCTTGCAGCGCCAAACGGGCAAGGGGCCGGGTTCTCCGGCCAGTTTTGGGGGAGAGCAATGGCATCCTCAAGCCGGGACGCCACAGTTCAGCCAGATGCCAGAAGCGCCCTTGGGGAGAAAACCTGAACCGGGACCTGGGAGGGTGTGGGCCGCCGGTTGTCTGGGAGGGAGCGCGCACAGGGCGGGGCGCGGCTGTGGGGAGGGCGCAGAGCGCGGGGCCGCCCCCCACGCACTCCCGGCCTCGGCTCCCAGCCCGTGGAGAACCGGGCGGGAGGAGGGGGGAGCTGGGTGGGAAGGGGCGTGTGCCGGCGCACGCGCGCTCCCGGGAGGGGGAGGTCTCCGAGCAAAAGCGAGCGGCCCGTTATCGAAGGGAGCCTCTGGGCCGAGCCAGGGACGAGGGCACCATGGCCGCCCTCCTGCTGCTGTCCCTGTTGCTGCTGCCACTCCTGCTGCTGCGGAAGCTGCACATCTGGCCCCGGCTGCGCTGGCTCGCGGCGGACTTGGCCTTCGCGGTGCGCGCCCTACGCTGCAAACGGGCTCTTCGAGCGCGCGCCCTGGCCGCGGCCGCCGCCGACCCGAGCGGCCCCGAGGGGGGCTGCAGCCTGGCCTGGCGCCTCGCGCAACTGGCCCGGCAGCGCCCCGCACACATCTTCCTCATTCACGGCGCGCGACGCTTCAGCTACGCGAAGGCCGAGCGCGAGAGCAACCGGGTTGCGCGCGCTTTCCTGCGCGCCCGGGGCTGGGACGCGAGGCTCGGCGGCGGCGCAGAGGACGAGCGGGCCGCGGGAGTTGCCGGCGCCGCGGCCCCCCTCGCAGCCGGGGCCACCGTGGCGCTGCTCCTCCCCGCCTGCCCAGAGTTCCTGTGGCTCTGGTTCGGGCTGGCCAAGGCCGGCCTGCGCACAGCCTTTGTGCCGGCCGCCCTGCGCCGGGGTCCCCTCTTGCACTGCCTCCGCAGCTGCGGCGCGCGCGCGCTGGTGCTGGCGCCAGGTAAGGCCGGAGCGCACGGCCAGCGGGGGCGGGACCGGCCTCGGAAAGGGGCGCGTCGGTGGGGGACGGGGAGGGGGAAGGAGGCCGAGCCTCCTCGAGGGGGTTCGGAAAGGGTGCTTGGGGATTTGAGTCTTTGGGTTTGCGAAGGGATGGAGCTGGGTCTTTGGTTCCCAGAACGGTGATGGGATGTTCATACTCTTCTCGCCCAAGAGCAGTGAAGTGGTGGGGAGGGGCGAGGGGGGCTGCAAATAGGCTGTGGGGTGGAGAAGAATTCTGGGTCGCCAAGCTATGCCCTCCCACCTCATCCAGAGTTCTTGGAGTCTCTGGAGCCTGACCTGCCAGCCCTGAGAGCCATGGGGCTCCGTCTTTGGGCTGCAGGCCCTGAAACCCATCCTGCTGGAATCAGCGATTTGCTGACTGAGGCCTCCGCTGAAGTGGATGAGCCAGTGCCAGGGTACCTATCTGCCCCCCAGAGCATAATGGACACGTGCCTGTACATCTTCACTTCTGGCACCACGGGTGAGCACTGGCCTTACCTCCCAGAAACTAGGCAGAGGAAGGCAAGGGGCTGGGGACAGGAACTATGGCCTCAGTTTCCAGGCCACTCCTCCAAACCCTCCCCGCCCCTCCACGCTGGTCCCTGGTCCCGGGGATCATACTCATTTCTCCACCTCCCTGAACTTCCCACATTCCCAGGACAGCTTGGCCTCCCTTCTTTTTAGCTTCAGCCTTGCCTCTGCCTCTTTCTTTGGGAAACCCAGCAGGGGCAGAGGGAGGCAGGGCCTGAAGCTCAGACCCTTCCCCGGGTCTCCCCCCACCACCCACAGGCCTCCCCAAGGCTGCTAGGATCAGTCATCTGAAGATTCTGCAGTGCCAGGCGTTCTATCAGCTGTGTGGAGCCCACCAGGAGGATGTGATCTACCTTGCCCTCCCACTCTACCACATGTCCGGCTCCCTGTTGGGCATTGTGGGCTGCTTGGGCATTGGTCAGTCTCCCCAACTCCCACCCCAGTCCAACCCCCCACCTTTAGTCCTCCAGCAGATGTTTTTTCTAGCAAACATTTATTAAGTACCTAAGTGGTATGGTCACCTCGGGATGCTTCCTGAGTCCTTCAGGGTAGAGAATCGAGGAAGAAGGAGGCAGGGGCCTACTCTCCAAGAGCTCCTGGTATAGTGGAGTAGCATCACCTGCACAACCTACAGACTGGCTAGGGAGGCCGTATCGTTCACAGAACTCCAGACTCCAAGGGCGGGGTGGGGAGGGCTGTGGATGTCAGTCCAGGAAGAAGCAAATGGAGAAGGTTGGGACTTGGGGGCAGGGTACAGAGCACGGACTGTGTGGGGACATGAAGTAGAGAAAGGGCACTGACCTCCCTGAGGCACAGCTGGGAAAGGAAGAAGGCCAAGTTGGGCCTGCTGTTGAATGTCCCAGCAGGGCCTTCCCAGGGACTACACACTGCACTGAGGGCTAGTGTCTGGGAAGGAGGTGGCCAGGGCGCCCCCATAGCCCTTACCCTCACCGTCCTTCCTCCCCCTCCTCCACTTCTGGCAGGGGCCACAGTGGTGCTGAAGTCCAAGTTCTCGGCTGGCCAGTTCTGGGAGGACTGCCAGCAGCACAGGGTGACAGTGTTCCAGTACATCGGGGAACTGTGCCGATACCTTGTCAACCAGCCCCCGGTGCGTGGGCACAGGTCCGGGGCAGAGCTGTCCAGGCAGGGAGTTGGGCACTTCATGGGAGACGCTGAGACAGTGGTCTGGAAGTTGGAAGAGAACAGCAGGGTGGGGTGAGGGGCGTGGGATGATAGGGTATCCGAGTGAGGTCACCGTGGAAGGGGCTCCAGGGGAGTGGGAAACAGGACTTCACTTTTCGGAGCTGGCGTCTTGGTGTTGAACCTTCTGCCCATCTCTCCTCATCTCAGAGCAAGGCAGAACATGGACATAAGGTCCGGCTGGCGGTGGGCAGTGGGCTGCGCCCAGACACCTGGGAGCGTTTTGTGCGGCGCTTTGGGCCCCTGCAGGTGCTGGAGACCTACGGACTAACAGAGGGCAACGTTGCCACTTTCAACTACACAGGACAGCTGGGTGCTGTGGGACGTGCTTCCTGGCTTTACAAGGTGAGGGAAGGGTGGGAAAGAAACTGGAGATCCCATGGAAGGTGGGGGCCGGCAGGGAGGGGGCTCGTGCAACTGAAATGACCCAGTGCCTGGGTCTCCCTTCCCCCAGCATGTCTTCCCCTTCTCTTTGATTCGCTATGATGTCACCACAGGGGAGCCGATTCGGGACACTCAGGGGCACTGTGTGGCCACATGTCCAGGTTCGTGCTCAGGTGGGGTGGGTGGGGGTGGTGCAGCTGGCAAAGGAGGATTGGGATTAGACAGTGGGGTGAGGGGCGGGAGGCTCTGGGTGAGGTGGGCAGTCACCCCTGACCCCAGTGACTCTGCCAGGTGAGCCGGGGCTGCTGGTGGCCCCAGTAAGCCAGCAGTCCCCATTCCTGGGCTACGCTGGGGGGCCAGAGCTGGGCCGGGGAAAGCTGCTAAAGGATGTGTTCCGGCCTGGGGATGTTTTCTTCAACACTGGGGACCTGCTGGTCTGCGATGACCAGGGTTTTCTCCGCTTCCACGATCGTACTGGAGACACCTTCAGGTATCTGCCCGTGACTCTGAGTCCTTTCCCAGACATCCAGTCTCTGTGACCCAAAGCCCCTAACCCTAGCTCCCTAACTCGCACCCAAACGCACCCAAACCCAGCCCCTCATCTAACCTCTCCTGTCAGACCTCTGGAACACTTCTTCCCTGGGAGCACTGGCACCGTGTCCTCCCCCCACCCACCTTCTAAGGCCCAGGATCTCTGCCCTCTTGCAGGTGGAAAGGGGAGAATGTGGCCACGACTGAGGTGGCGGAAGCCTTGGAGTCCCTGGATTTTCTTCAGGAGGTGAACGTCTACGGGGTCTCCGTGCCAGGTGCCAAGACACGGGAGGTGGGAGGCAGCTGGCCCAATGCCCTGACCTGGTATTACTTGGGCCCAGGGAACATGAAGCCGGAGGGTGGTCCACAGCTGACCTTTCCCCACTGACCACCAGGGCACGAAGGCAGAGCTGGAATGGCGGCCCTGGTTCTACGTCCCCCCCACTCATTGG